AGAAGGACTTAAGATGAACCCTAATAAGGTTAAAAGTGTGTTGGAATGGCTAGAACTAACCACACTAAAGGAACTATAAGCGTTCCTAGGATTCGCCAACTTCTATCGAAAGTTTATACGGAACTACTCGCGAATCACTATACCCCTAATAAATCTAATAAAGAAAGGAGTCGCGACCTTTACTTTAACAGAGCTTACTAAATAGACGATTAAAAATCTTAAGAAAGCGTTTACTGAGGCCCCGATCCTCACGATCTTCGACCCGGACCTATAGACGCTCCTCGAGATAGATACATTAGATAGCGCGATCGCTACGGTCCTCACATAGGTAGAATAAGACGGGAAGATTAGGCTAGTCGCCTACTTCTCACGAAAAATGATAGAACTAGAACTTCACTACGATATTTACGATAAAGAATTACTCGCTATAGTGAAAGTATTTAGACATTAAAGAGTATATTTAGAAGGACCTAAATATCTAGTAAAGGTCTATTCGGATCATAAGAACCTTTTATACTGGAATACGACTAAAATACTCAATAGAAGATAAGTGCGATAGGTAGAAACACTCGCTATACATAACTTTAGAATCTACCATATTAAAGGGAAAGAAAACGGCCGAGTAGATGTCCTTAGTCGACGACTAGACTATATAAAGAATATAAAGCTAACCTCATTAACTTTACTACGATAAGAGGGAGAATACCTCACATATACATAACTAGTGCTTACAGCAGTAGAAGTAGTCTCAGAAAGAGACGACTACCGATTTAATCTAAAAACCAATATAACAGAATATCACTTCGTAGATAGAGTGCATAATGAAGTTACACGCCTAGAAGTTATAAAGTATTATCACAACGACCCATTAATGAGACACCCGGGAGCCGATAAGATAATTGAGCTTATCACCCGACACTACGACCCTTAGAAGTACATAAGACAAGAGATCTAAGAATTTATTAACTAGTGCGAAGTGTACGCGTAGACGAAGCACGCGAGATATAGGCCCTACGGACTACTAAAACTATTATAAGTCCCCGACGGAGCCTGGACATCTATTACATTCGACTTCATTACGAAACTACCTAAATTATAAGAATCTCTTACGGAAGTAACCTACGACAGTATATTAATAATATATAATAGACTAACGAAGTTCTTATACTTTAGACCATACCTTAAGAAATTAATAGTAGAAGAATTCGTATATAAATTTCTACGAATAGTCTTTATTAATTATGAAATGCTAAGAGAGATTATCATAGATAGAGATAAGCTCTTCATATCTAAATTTTGAAAGGTATTAATGGAGTTACTAATAACGAAGCATAAACTATCTACATCGTTTCACCCTTAGACGGACGATTAAATAGAAAGAACGAACTAGACTTTAGAATAATATCTAAGAATGTACGTAGACTATAGTTAGATAAACTAGATAAGACTATTACTAGTTACTTAATTTTACTTTAATAATTATAAGTTAGTAATAGAAATAAGCCCATTCTTTACTAACTATAGGTTTCACTCACGACTCGAAGAAGTTATAGACGAAAGTCTAAATCCGAGGGCTAAGAGTATAGCATTAACTATAAAAGAACTACACGAACAACTTAAATTAGATCTACGATTTCTTATAGAAAAGATAGTAAGCTACGCGAATAAGAAACGAATCGAGAGATCGCTCCTAGAGAAGAGGAACCTCGTCTACCTTTTACGAAAAAATATTAAAACGAAGAGACTAAGCGCGAAGCTAAACTATATAAAACTCGAACTATTTAGAATTAAAGATAAACTTAGAGACGTTATATATCGACTGGAACTACTAAAGAATATAAAGATTTATAACGTATTTTATAAAGCACTTCTTGAACCAGTACCGCGGAACGCTAAAATCATCTAAATACTTTCGCTAGATGAGGAGATAGCACCCGAGAAATATAATGTTGAGAAAGTCCTCAGAAAACGCGTTAGGCGCGGCCAGCCTCAATATCTAATTAAATGATTAGGATACGACGAGTGCGAAAATAGCTGGGAACCGAAGACCAACCTTTCGAAGGAACTTCTAAGGAAAATAAGGAAGGATCATTCTAAGTGGTTCCTAACGCTAGCAAAGCATTCAGCTATTCATCGTCGAAGGCGAACTCATGAGCTATCGATAGCTTAGGTTCATTCGGCGTATACCCCTCCTTCCGATTAAGGGTATCTAACACCCAGGATTACCGAACCACTATATTACTCTAAGCGCGAGTGTACCCTTCTATTTACCGCTGATAGCCGATTAGCCGACGCTCTAGCTTAGCTAACTCGGCCATAAACTTAGTAGCCTCAGTATACACTTAGGCTATGCGGTCGCACAGCCTCCGGGCCCGCTCCGCCATCCCCTCACGAGCCTCACGGCAACGACTTTCCAATTCCTCCTTCTTCTTTTCTAGAGACTGAAACTCCTCCTCGAAATATTAACCATCACACTTCATATTTTTCTGAGTGCACTCACTATAGCGAGAATTACCTTTTAGAAGGAAGTAGACGGAGGACGACCTAGCATAATTCGAATAAGGAGTCATAGTTAAGAGACCTAGGCGTTTTATCTTTTCAGTAAGAAGGCGGCGCTCGAGGAAACGTTAGCGAGAAACCTTACGAATATCTAAGGAAGAAAGAAGGGAAGATATTCTTAGACTTAGATAAATTTAAGCCGGGCAGTGTTTCGCTTTTATATCATCGCTAAGATAGACTCTTAGGATAAGAGTCTAACCGAAGAAAGGATAGTGTTAGATATAGCCTTACGGAAGATCGACTACGAGTCGTACGAGCCCGACTCACTATACTTATTGAACACTTAGAAGGATCTACGAAGAAATAAGGCTAGGTTATGTAATATACTCTATTAGCTCTATTAGCCCTGTCGGCTCTATTAATAGAGCGCACAGAGCGCATAGAGCGCATAGAGCGCGAGCATTATATATATATCCTCACTACCCTAGATAGTTGCACTCTCTTCGTAGCCAACTTATGTTATCTACTGAACTATATAGTTCTTAGTAATAGAGAACCCTACTTATATCTTGTGTCTTCCCCAACTAGCTTATGCTATCTTAGGATTATTGCTGAGAACCCTAACCTAGTTAGGATTAGTAGGGATCCTTAACATCGATATTCGAGACGCGTACTACCGTATACGTATGAAAGAAGGCGAAGAGTAGAAAACGGCTTTCAGGACTCGATATGAATTATTCGAGTACTGTGTGATGTCATTCGAACTCACTAACGTCTCAGCAACGTTTTAGGCACTAATTAACAACGTATTAAGAAAATATCTTAATATATTCTGTGTCGCATACTTAGATGATATATTAATCTACTCTAAGACCTATAAGAAATATATAAAATATATAACGAAGATACTGGAGGCCCTTTAGGAATATTAGTTACCGATTAAGCTAGAAAAGTGTAAATTTTATAAAGATAGTGTTAAATTCTTAGAATATATAGTCATCCGAGAAGAACTTAAGATGAACCCCGATAAGGTTAAAAGTGTATTAGAATAATTAGAACTAACTACACTAAGGAAACTATAAGCGTTCCTAAGATTCGCTAACTTCTATCGAAAGTTCATACGGAACTACTCGCGAATTACTGCACCCCTAATAAACCTAATAAAGAAAGGAGTCGCGATCTTTACTTTAATAGAGCTTATTAGATAGGCGATTAAGAATCTTAAGAAAGCGTTTACTGAGGCCCCGATCCTTACGATCTTCGACCCGAATCTATAGACGCTTCTTAAGACGGATGCATTAGATGGCGCGATCGCTACGGTCCTTACATAGTTAGGATAAAACGAAAAGATTAGGCCAGTCGCCTACTTCTTACGAAAAATGATAGAATTAGAGCTTCACTACGACATTTACGATAAAGAATTACTCGCTATAGTGGAAGCATTTAGACATTAAAGAGTGTATTTAGAAGAATCTAAATATTTAGTGAAGATCTATTCGGATCATAAGAATCTTTTATATTAGAATACGACTAAAACACTTAATAGAAGATAAGTGCGATGGGTAGAAATACTCGCCATGCATAACTTTAGGATTTACTATATTAAAGGGAAAGAAAACGGTCGAGTAGATGCCCTTAGTCGACGACCAGACTATATAAAGGATATAAAGCTAATCTCATTAACTTTACTACGATAAGAGGAAGAATATCTTATATATATATAACTAGTGCTTACAGTAGTAGAAGTAGTCTTAGAAGGAGACGACTATCGATTTAACCTGAAAACCAATATAATAGAATATTACTTCGTAGATAGGGTGTATAATGAAGTTACACGCCTAGAAGTTATGAAGTATTATTATAACGACCCATTAATGGGACACCCGGGAGCCGATAAGATGATCGAGCTCATCACCCGACACTACGACCCTTAGAAACATATGAAATAAGAGATCTAAGAATTTATTAACCAGTGCGAAGTGTGCGCGTAGACGAAGTACGCGAGACATAGACCCTACGGACTACTAAAATCGTTATAAGTTCCCGACGAAGCCTAGATATTTATTATATTTAACTTTATTACGAAACTGCCTAAATTATAAGAACCCCTTACGGAAGTGACCTACGATAGTATACTGATGATATATGATAGGCTAACGAAGTTTTCATACTTTAGACTATATCTTAAGAAATTAATAGTAGAAGAATTCGTATATAAATTTCTACGAATAGTCTTTACTAATCATAAAATACTAAGAGAGATTATTATAGATAGAGATAAGCTCTTTATATCTAAATTTTAAAAGGCATTAATAGAGTTACTAATGACGAAGTATAAACTATTTATATCGTTCCACCCTTAGATAGACGATTAAATAGAAAGAACGAACTAAACTTTAGAATAATATCTAAGAATGTACGTAGACTATAGCTAGATAAACTAAGTAAGGCTATTACTAGTTACTTAATTTTACTTTAATAATTATAAGTTAGTAATAGAAATGAGTCTATTCTTTACTAACTACGGGTTTCATTTACGACTTAAAGAAGTTATAGACGAAAGCCTAAACCCGAGGACTAAGAGTATAACATTAACTATAAAGGAACTACACGAATAACTTAAATTAGATCTACGATTTCTTATAGAAAGAATGGTAAGCTACGTAAATAAGAAACGAATCGAGGAATCGCTCCTAGAGAAGAGGAACCCCGTCTACCTTTTGCGAAAAAATATTAAGACGAAGCGACCAAGCGCGAAGCTGGACTACACAAAACTCGGACCATTTAGGATCAAAGACAAACTTGGAGACGTTATATATCGATTGGAACTATTAAAGGATATAAAGATTTATAACGTATTCTATAAAGCACTTCTTAAACTAGCACCGCGGAACGCTAAAATCATCTAAACACTCCCGCTAGATGAGGAGATAGCACCCGAGGAATATGATGTCGAGAAAGTTCTCAGAAAACGCGTTAAGCACGGCCAGCCCTAATACCTGATCAAATGGTTAGGATACGACGAATGCGAAAACAGCTGGGAACCAGAGACCAACCTTTCGAAGGAGCTTCTAAAGAAAACAAGGAAGGATCACCCTGAGTGGTTCCCAACGCCAGCAAAGCATCCAACTGTCCATCGTCGAAAGCGAACTCGCGAGCTATCGGCAGCTCAGGTTCATCCGGCGCATACCCCTCCTCCTCGTCGAGACGATCCAGCACCATACAAGCCCGGACCGTCATGTCGCTCTGAGCTTGTGTTAACTTATCCAGTTGGCGCTCCACCTGACTTAGACGAGACTGCTCCTGAAGCAACTCCAGGGATTGTTGCTGCGCTAGACGAGCCATTTCCCCCGCATACCACTGGGCGCGCTGAGCCATACGGGCTTGGGCCTCCTGCACCTTATTCCGCAACTCCGACTTCTTTCGCTCAATGCTTTGGTACTCTGACTCGGAGTACTGACCATCACATTTCATGTTTTTCTTCAAGCATTCAGAACAACGAGAAACCCCATACTTCATCACATAGATCGAGCGGGAACGATCGCAATTTAAATAAGGTGCCATGGCGCGGTAACCAGTGAACTGTACGTTACGCGACTAACGAAGGCGTTCGAGAGAACGGTCGCGGATATAAGAAAAGAGCTTAGGGACGGTGGGCTATAGGCGAGAAGAAGAGAAGAGAGGAGATATCTTTAGACTTAGGCGAATTTAAGTTAGGTAGTGTCCCGCTTTTATATCATCGCTAAGATAAACTCTTAGAATAAGAGTCTAACCGGAGGGAGAATAGTGTTAGACATAGCCTTACGAAAGACCGACTACGAGTCGCACGAGTACGACTCACCACGCTCATTAGACACTTAGGAGGATCCACGGAGAAATAAGGCTAGATCACGTAATATGCTCTATTAGCTCTGTTAGCCCTATTGGCCCTATTGGCACAGAGCGTATAGAGCGCATAGAGCACATAGAGCGCGAGCATTATATATATACCCTCACTACCTAAGATAGTTGCACTCTCTTCGTAGCCAACTTATGTTATCTACTGGACTATATAGTTCTTAGTAATAGAGAACCCTGCTCATACCTTATGTCTTCCCTAACCAGCTCATACTATCTTAGGATTGTTACTGAGAACCCTAACCCAGTTAGGATCAGTAGGGATCCTTAACAATAAGGCTAAGTTCTAGTTAACGAATACTTCGGCTTCGGAAAAGAAAGACTTAGACGACTCCTCGTCTTCTCGTAAGCGAACCGTATATAGCTCGTAGAAAAGATTATTCACGAGTAAAGAGCCGAAAGAAGAGAAGAGAATAGAGAAAGATTTCATAACTAAGCGAAAGAAGTTCGTTAACTTCTACTATAACTACGAAAAGTAAGAATATAAGGAAGCGAAATATCGTTAATTAAAGCGTACTTAAGGCGTAGACGCTTCGTAGACTAGTAATAAAGATAAGTTAAAAAACTAAGTTCTAATTTACTTAGTGTCGCCGTAGCGCTAGGGTTACTCGAAGATATAGACGTAAATAATTAACTTAGAACGTTACGATTACTCACCTTAGAGATTTAGATTAAGATTTTATAAGGACCGTAGATAATACGTACGCTGCTCGATAGCGGGGCGTAGACGAACTTCATCTCTTAACTTCTCGTTATAGAAGTAAAGATAAAACTTATAGCTATTTGTTAGACACAGCCTTGAGGAAACCCGGTTACGAGTTGCATTGGCGCGACTCACCACACTCATTGGACAGATGGAAGGATCCACAGGAGAACAAGGCTGAGTCACGTGATATGCCCTGTTGGCTCTGTTGGCCCTGTTGGCCCTGTTGACAGAGCGCACAGAGCGCACAGAGCGC